TAGGACTCCAAGTCCCTGCCATAGTTACTACTATCGAGTGAGGTACCACATATATTGTACCTGTGCATTGTGTTTTTCTTACCTAAATGTAGAACTTTACTTTTTTCACCATTGAATTTCATTTTGTTGTATAGCGCCCAAAAGTCAACAATCTGAAAGTGATTCATTACACACCTGGCAGCTGTAACACATTTAAACAATTTGATTCTTGAGAAAGGGAAGAGAAAAGCGGGTAGCCTTTCTCTTTCACCCTTCCAGCTCTATTGTCCCTTCCATCATTCCCAGACATCATAGCTATTGCATCTGGAAAATAGCATGGTAGGAAGAGTTGAGGAGACAAATATGCAGAATGTAGCTCATTCTTGTAGCCTGCACTACACAGTAATTGCTTGTTTTCAATTAATGATGTGATACTGGAACCTTTGGCGAGCATTCATTTGCTGCACCATAGGAAACAGAGTCTGAAAAATGCCTGCGGACTCCATCGTAATATGGATAACTTTTGTTCCTCTTGCACTCTTCTTAGAACAGTCTTTTCTAACCCCACTCAAATGTATGATTCCTAACATTCCAAGATATTGTTCTTTTCTCAAGAAGAAAATCTCCATTGGTGTTTTTTTCATAGTTCTTGAATATATTTGTACACTTAGATTCAATAATTCAGTCAGTCTCTCCATTTATAGAATGGCATAGGTTTCAGTACAAAAGTCAAATTCACGGTTCTTCAGAGTGGCCAGTACTGACCCACAAAGGTGAGTGGGACTGTCCAAGGGGTCAGTGGTGTTGTGGTGCTGATTGGTTTAATAAAGTAGAATTCATTAAATTATTTTCATAGAATAAATGGGGGTCAATGAACAATTGGAAGCCTTTATGAAGGGGTTGATGAGCTGAAAAGTTTGGGTACCCCAGGCCAATTAGAATGCATTTATCTGATCAGCAACAGTTGACCAACATTGACCAATGTGCAGTTTATAATAACTGTGATTTTAATACCCTGCTTCATTAACCAAATTAAATACCAGCACTGGCCCTACTATCAGGCAGAGTTATGTGGCTCCTTAGAAACCTGTATGCCACCCAATTCATTATAGATTATATGCATCCAGCACAATACAATGCAAATTAAACAGTCGCAGTAACCAGAAACATCATCCTGACTTTTGATAACTAACTACCGTCCCCTATCCACGCTTGAAGCTGCTTTCAGACAACTGGTATCCCATGCACTGAAAGCTCTGTGGAGCAGTTTTGTTTTAATGCTGAGAGTCTTGAAAGTGGGTCTTTATGCCCCCAAACCTGTCTTTGGATATTATGTGGCCTGTGAAGGGGTGAATTAAAGAGGAATTGGAATCATTTGCAACTGTGTTTCAGGGACCAAAATATATGGATTTCCAAGATTTTGCTCAGCTCAGAAGGACTCTCTGTTTAATGCTAATATATAATGGACCTTTCCATCTAGTAAAGTTAATGAATAGTCCTTAGTCACATGAATTGCATTCATTGTAATGGCTGCATTAAAACCGGAGCACAATCATTAAGGTTAGGAATACTCTATTTAACAGGTTTGAATTCCTCAGAAGACAAATATCCAGCCTTACGAAACACTAAGGGGAAAGTATTTATCACAGTTTAGAGACTGCCTTGTTTGGCAACCATTCACAATTATGATGATAAAGAAGTAACTTTATGACCAATCCCCATGTTTATGATTTTTACAGGATTATAAAGTAAAGGAAACCTTAAGTAAGATCACACAGTTGTGAGTTCACTTAATCACCAAGTTGCTAGTCCGCAGGAAAGGCAGGGGGCACACACGCATTATATTATGGATGTGGGCATGCGTGCATGCATTGTTGGCACATGAGGAAAAATGATTAGCCATCACTGGCTTATAGCAGTATCTCTCTAAAATCTGGTAATCCTTTTATTTTCCCTTATTTTATTTGTTTGGAAAGGTATGGTAGTCACAAATTTTATATGCACATAGGTTATGCAGAACATTGGATTCAAACACCTAAAGATGTCTTGAAAAGTGCCAAAGTGTGAATGGAGGATCTGCCCACCTTATCGTAAAGCAGCTAAGCCCTTTCTCAAGATTGTGAAGTAGCTATAAAAGATATCGATGAGCCTCTGGGAATGGACATGGTTGCTTTAAATTATCCAGAGGTGTCCTGTCTGCCCTCCTGCACATTTTGAAGCATCTTTTAGAGAATGAACACTGCACAGTTTTAATGTGTGTGTCTGCATTTATAACCACCTTTTTCTTTATTAGGTAGAAGTCTGATTGAAACCTCAGAATTTATGTTATCTCTATTTAAAAAAATACAGTATATCCTATTAATATATATACATCATCCAGGACAGCAAAGGGATCTCTTATGATAGATAATTCTTACAATTTGCCCTTTAGAGGGAAATATCTATCATAGCTAGTGGAAGGTGATATAAATCTGCTTCCTAGCTAGGGAAAAACCAAATCTGTATATGCATGAAAAACTCAACATTTTGGAAGGAACAGGAGGAATATAGTACCAATAAAAAGAATATGAACAGAAGGAATATGATGACGAATAGATGAGAATAACAGAAGGAATAGGTCTACCTACATGTGTGTTTGTATGCATGCGCACAGATAGACATGTAAATAGGTAAATGTGTTGAATGTTCACTGCTTGCATCTCTGAATTCAGCAGGAGGGGTGGGTTGCTGATGGTATTACTGCTGGTTTGGTGCACAAAGATTTTTGCGCATGCACACACACTTTGCTCACGTTCACGTCCAACATGCACACTGTGTGTGTGAGCATTTACAGCTTAAAAGATCTGCGCCATGTGCACAAAGTTAGAAAAGGGGAAAAAATAAAATTTTGTAATGAAGATTGTTCTGCGCATGCACGGAACCAAAAATCAAGATGGTGCCGCCGTCGATAGAACTGGTTTGGGGGGATGACAGGCTGAGTTACTATCTACTCACTGAACCGGTCCGAACCGGTAGGAACCCACCTCTGTTCAGTAGGATCCTTTTCTTGGATCTGATATTCTTTCGTGCATGTTTCTAGCATGAACATCTAATGTAAATAATAATGTTTTACCTCGCCCCAAAGTACTATATTCTACATCTATCCACAATTACAAATAATCACGGTTTTCACATGAAGAAAGAACAACACAATAATCATCATACGCAAAATAATAAATACAAAAATCTAAAGAAATCGGAAGGCAAATCTGAGGTTTTTTTTTTTCAGGTTGTGAATAATGTGCTACCCACCAACACTGAAATGACTGTAGGAACCAGGTTAGGGTAACCCAGTGAGAATGGTGAGAGTAGAATGTGAACATAAATAAAGAATGCCTTCGCATTTTATGCACTCTGTGTGCAATTTAGATTTTTAGTTGCTACACCTAGGCTGCTAAGACTATTCAGTGATTCAGAAGTAAAACACTGGATGTCTACTTATGAACTCAGCAAAGTACTGTGAAGAAAATGAAAAGGGGAATTTTGAATTTCCAGCATGTAGTCTGGAATAAGAATGATCTGGAGATAACTTTCAATTGATACGGCATTCTTATGTAAAGTTTTCTCAAGCAAGCAAGATAGACATATAGACATTCTTGTCTAGTGAGGATCAGAGGAATAAGGGAGAAGAAACCAGGGAAATCGACATGACGAGCCATGTGCTGGGACTGTGATAACGTGGTGAAGCTGACCAGGCTGTTTGCTGTTTGCCACAAGGATGCTAGCCTGAATACCGGATAGATGCTGGGAGGCAGAAGCAGATTTTTTTTTCTTGTACTCTTCCTCTAAAGCTAATCTGCACCTTATACTCCAGTGCATCTTACAGTTAAAAAAACATGGTACCTGTTATGGGTCCTCAGCAAGTGTGAAAATTGCACTCAAAGGAGAATAATAGTTCAAAGGGTCTTTCTCAAACTGAATTGGAGTATTAAGTGGATTTTCATTCTTGAATACTTTTCAACATTTTCATTAATAATTTTGATGAAAAGCAGGAGAGAATGCTTAACAAGGTTAAAGGTGGTGCAGAACTGGGCAAGACAGTGTATGTTAAGAAGTACTTCAAAGCTACTTTAAGAAAACATGGTCTCCTGTCTCTTTAGCAAATTCGAGGCCAGACAAGACTTCTTCCAATCAACTATTATAAGCACCAGTAAAGCAATGCACATAACATTCAGCAAGTTGCAGGGACAAGATCTTGAAGAGATAGAAGCTCTGCACTAATTGTTTGCCTCCATGCGGGAAAGAGAAATTTCATTGCTTCTGTGAGGGGTGAATATCTCAGATGAAGCATAATTGGGAATACTCTGGAGCCGTGATGGCGAACCTATGGCATGCATGCCACAGGTGGTATGGGGAGCCATATTTGCTGGCACGCCAGCAGTCAGCTGCAGCGTGCATGTGCGTGCCAGCCAGCTAATTTTCGGCCTTCTGGAAGGCCGGGGAAGGTCGTTTTTGCCCTTCCCAGGCTTCAGGAAAGCCTCCAGAGACTGGGGAGGGCGAAAAATGGATCCAACGGGCCAACTGGAAGTTTGGAAATGATCCATTTCAAGCTTCCGGAGGGCCTCTGGGAGGGTGGGGGAGGCCATTTTCACCCTCCCCAGGCTTCAGAAAAGCCTCCAGAGCCTGAGGAGGGGTTGTGCGTGCGTGTGTGGGGGTGGTGGTAGTGCATGCATGTGCAGATAGGCAGGGAAGGTTGAATTGGTATGGGCACATGTACGTATGTAATAGTGGGCATGTGCATAATTTTGGCACGCCATAAGAAAAAGGTTCGCCATCACTACAGCAGGTTTCTCAAACTTTAAGAAGTACGGACTTCAACTCCCAGAATTCCCCAGTCAGCATGCTAATTGATCAGTAAGTGGGTTCACACATCTTACCAAGTTAAACCAAAGTAGCCACATTATGATTTAGCATGAGATGTAATATCCAGTCAGTATTCCTCCTTATAAATGATTAAAACTAGTCTTGTTTTCCTTACACAGAAGAGCCACTAATCTCCTGGAGGTTCCTCATGGAGGATGGGCTTGAATGGCTTTTCGTGGGAAAGTCAGCATCAAAGATTCTGCAGCCCAATCTAACCAGGTAAAATGAATTATATGAACTAGGATTATAGCCCAATTTTATTGAAACTTGATAACGCCATAGAGGTCCAATTTTCTGTTGCAGAAGAAAATAGATGTCATGATTTCCAGCTGGACCATTTCTCTGCATTCAGATCGATTGAGAACTGATGTTCTCATAATTTATAGCTAATGTTGAATAGATTCCAACTTCCCTTTTGTATGAGTTTATTGACTGTAATCCTAACTGCTTTATTAAATCATTGTCTCTTCAGCTGGAGATAGTATTTACTAGATTTTGGAAATTTTAGAACTTGTCATGACTTTTTAAATTATACAATGAATCAAGGTCATTCAGTGATAAAAAATATACCTTTATGTGCTCCAAGATATATACTATGTATATATAGTATGTTTTTCATTTATTGTAAAGCTTTGGGAGGCATCCAAAATACATACATATCCAGATGTTTAAAGTGGAGGATATGATAGTTATGAAACCAAGCTGGTTGGAAGGATGAAAAATAACATGGATAATGAAAAAGGTTAGATCTGAAAATTCAGACAACTGGAGATTTTATGGTATTTTGAAGTTTTGTATTTCCAATATTTTCACAACTCATAGAAATCAAATCTTATTTTAAGGGTTGATCACAGTTGTAGTGTGCAGAACTCACATAACACAAACCACATGTAGCTGTTTTATTTGGTTGAGCAAATCGAGACAATGGAAATCTGGATTTCCATAAACAAACAACAAAACTCTTTATATGTTATATTTCCTCTGCACCCTTTTTAAAAGAAGACATGTGACTGAGGAAGTAAAAATGTTCTTGTCCTCTTCTGCAGTTTGGCAAAGGTAGGAAATGAAGAGATACAGGCAGTTGGTGCAGTTTCTTTATGTCATAATGACAGAAAAAGCAACTTTTCCCTTGAACCTGGTACATTGCTTGCCTTAGCTGCCTTTATTTTTCCTCTACTAATTTACAATTTTACTATTAGTTAATTAGTAATTTACTATTAGTATTACTATTAACTATTTACTAAATAGTTCTAATTTTTCTTTCTCCCCTCACCTTTATGTACAAGAGTACCTTTGTACTACAGACAGATCTTGTAAACATCCTTAAAAAATAAGAAGGGTGGGAGCTTCTATGAAATTATGGTGAACTCTGAAGATGCTTCTGTGAAAGTAGAGCTAATAACTGCAGTAATAACTAAGTAATTATGAGAAGACAGGTTCCTCAGAAACACTCCAGCAAGGAGAGGACAGGAGATCACACACATGTGCTCCTTACAGCTGCTCTTCATGAGCAGACCACAGGACAGTAATTTTCCATGAGCTTGAGCACTGAGACGGGAAGGGATCAGCCATTTTGCTTGCAACTGTGGCAGAGCCTTTTAAGAGAGAGGGCTGTGAAGCACCATTAAGTGGTGTATAAGTCTAAATGCTATTGCTATAAATACTGGTGAAAATATGAATGTTCATTTCTATGGTTATGATACAATGTCACACGACAAACTCCTATGAATTCCTTGCTGACTCACACCAAAGTTACATTTTAGTCTGACAGTACTGAACAAATTCTTCCAATGAAAATTCCAAAATTTTAATATTTTCTGCATCTACATGTCTCTGTATCCATGTGGGTCTGCTGTAAAATCTTATAAAAGCAGAGAGGGGGGGGGGGTTCTGTAAGGGGAAAAACCTGCCAATACTTTTGTTAGGGTTAAGCAAAGGCATGAAAAAATTGTAGGCAAGTTTTTGATTTTTCCATATATTTCTCCATTCAGAATATAGGAAAGAAGAAATATTAAAAACATTGCAATAAATAACATAAAAATAAAACAAATACAAGCCAGAGCTGAAGGGAGAATAAAAAAAGAGTCTCCGCAACAATGAAGTCATCTAGACAAGTCTCCAGTTCGATGGGAACTCCAGGCCTGGTCACATAACCAGGACTTGAAGACCTTTTGAAATATTAATAGCAATGGGGCCAGATGTAGGAGAAGGAGTGGTAGAACCTGGGGTGAAGTCAAAAGAGGACTCAGCCTAGAATTGCTATATAGTCACAAGTGGACTAAGGCCAACCCAAGGGTGGGTTCCAGCAGGCACCACTGCCTGTTCGCTCGTGCACGTGCTTGATGCATGCAAAGAAACTAAAAACAAGATGGTGGTGCCTATGGCGCTGCCAGGAGAACTGGATCGGGGACATGGCAGGCCTGGGTCACTGCCAGTTCCAGCGACCCAGGCCGTCAAGCCACTACCACTGGTCCAACCCCACTTGAATTCTGTTAACCCTTTTCTAGCACCAAAATAATACTAACAGTTAGTTGACTAGATTCCTGTGCATAGGCAGGAACAATAAATCAGTTTAATTGGACTTTAATGTGTAGCGTTGGTCTTTCACACCTGAATTTAGTACAATTTTGGAGGGATGTTCCATTAGATGGGCACCATGGAAGAGGATTGCTGTGTAACTGCTGTGTGTTGTTCAGTCTTTAAAAATGTATTATTGAAAATGATATTTCAATGTAATATTATTTCTGTAATTAAAACAGAATAATTAATACAGAAATTATTGTGCTAATAATATAATTAATACAATTAATACTAATTAATACTATTTCTATAATTAATTAGTAATATTCATCAACACAAACTTTAATTGTCATTAATTGAATAATAATTAATACACCATTTTTCTTCAAACAAATAGGTACTCCAAACAAAATCTATTTCCAACAATTATGGCTAAGTTTATTAAATAAATATTAACATGGACTATTAGGAAGAATTAAATCTTTAAAGTTGTTAATACGACTAGAAACGCAATATAGTCAATGTGTTTGTAGACAAAGTGACTTTTTTTTCTTTAAAATCTATTCAGAGATTTATGTTAACTGCAGGAAATAAATTTCATGCTATAAGAGGGTTAGAAGTTAATTTGGATAGGCTATCCTTTAATAAATTAAAGGATATTGATAAAGAGTCACACAAAACATCTCAAAGAAGTTCTTAGTCTTCACACTAGTCCAGGTTGATTTAGGAGAAGTTATTAAATAGGACTGACAGCAATTAAATATGGTACTAATGTCATGCTTCTGATTGAGATTAAAATGGAATTTAAATCAGTATTAAATTCTGCTTAATTAATTCTACTAAATAGCAATCCTGAAAGCAGGATTGCTATTTGGTAGAATAGCTGCAGTTAAAATGTCTTTCTTCTTAAGAATCTGTGAGACATATGTTAAGTGAGATTTGCCCCATGCCCCTTTCTTGTCACAGTTGTTAAGTGAATCACTGCAGTTGTTAAGTTAGTAACATGGTTGTTAAGTGAATCTGGCTTCCTCATTGACTTTGCTTGTCATAAATTTGCAAAAGGTGATCACATGACCATGGGACATTGCAACTGTCATAAATATGAATCAGTTGCCAAGTGGCTGATTTTTGATCATGTGACCATGGGGATGCTGCAATGGTTGTGAGTGTGAAAAATGTTCACAAGCCATTTTTTTCTGTGCCGTTGCAATGATCACTAGAACTGTTGTAAATCAAAGACTACCTGTACTTGGTTTCATATCTTCATTTATAATTACTGTATTTTCACTTACATTTAATTCTGAAAATCCAAACATTAGCTGAAATAATCTATATAGGGTAAATAGAATGAGTATAGCAGTTTAAGAATACCTGATTTTAAACATTAGTTTTAAGGTTTTCAATTAAGACCATCCCTGTTTTTTAAAAGAAATTTATTAAAAAAAATATCACGGGCTATAGGCTAGAATTATCTCTGCATGTTGTATCAGGGCAGTGTCCTTCTTCTTGATAGTGAGAAATAAATAGCGGTCATCCCAAATCTGAAATGATAAAAACAATATTTGGTCTTTGGACCTGTTTATTCTGCTCCCATTTCATGGATTCCCCTTTTTGAAAACATGCAGCTTTGAAAAGGCACATTGAACATATGCAATAATCAAGGCATGTGAAATTATCAATGCACCAACACCCTGGATTATGTTTCCTGCCCAGGAATGCTGAAGTCATGTTAACTAGCTGTCATGCTATACCTGTATTTACCTTCAATTTTAAAATATAGAACACACTTATTTCCCAGGCTTGTTTTTTTGAGACAGGAAGCTAGTTCTGATTTTCCTTTCATGAAGATAACGGGTTTGGTCACCTGGAGAGAGTAAACCGGCTGTTAAAAGTAGTGCACAGGGAGCCCTCTTGTGGTGAATGTTAAAGCCGCGTGAAAGGTATTATTTGTATTGATTTTGGGTGCACAGCTAACGAAGCTTTTGAAGGGCTCTCGCTGTTTTTATTTTTACTCATTCCCCTTATCACTGTTTCCCTGATGACATATCTAAAGAAAGTTCAACTATTATTTATGTGAAAATGTTTGTTTCAACAGGGACATTGTGTGTTTGCTCTCTCTGTTCTTTTAATGTGATATTGTGGAAGGGGTTTATAATAATCCTTGATCTGATACATAGATTTTAATAGTGATGCTAGTGTCAGAGGTAGCCCCACAAAAACATGATGACCAGTTGGCTTCATGAAAGAGTGTACAGATAAGATACTAGCATGCTATCTGTGAGGATTAATATTGTATATATTTGTGATGTCAGCCCTAACTAAAATGTTCATTTTTATTACCACTGATTTCATGTTAACAGTGAGAATCTTTTTAAAATTTGTTGGAGTGAATAAACAATGTTTGTGTGGTAGCACAAACATAAATATACAGTAAGTGAAAACAATTAATCGGTGGAACAGCTTAAATTGTAGGTGCTCTATCACAGTGGTCCCCAACCCCCGGTCCGCGGACCGGTGCCGGGCCGTGGAGTACCTGGCACCGGGCCACGCAGCTGCCGGGGGACATGAACAGCTGCCCAAAGGTCCTCGCCCGCGCTGGTGGAATCCCCGGGCGCTGCTGGTACCGCCGCCACCGCCGCCCCCTGCGAAACCCAAGTGCGGCTCTTCTGCGAGGCGGCTGGCT